TCTATTTTGATTATCATAAACCATTTACTAGGTAAGAGTTGATGTTGACAAGTTTTTTTGCAGTGTACCAAAACCACCGTGGGTGAGCGTCATCAGAATGAGAGCACAGAAGGAGGTCAAACACAGGTCATGGTGGTATTAGTCAGAAGTAACAAATAATGTGAAAGGTATGGAGGGCCTCATCCCTGTAGCAGATATCTTGTTGCCGTTTCTATGGCAATGAAACCACAAAATTGCACTTCTTAGAACCAGGAAGTAGGTTGCAGAATTGTTCATTCTGTGGTGTTAATCAGAATTATAGGATATAAATTCAAAAAAATATATAAATCATTTTAAAATACACATTTTCTTTATGTAAATTACAGGCTTTTCAGAAGTTATTGTCAGTTATTAATTGTGCTTATATAGCACATGTACCACTACTACAGCCTCTATGCACTTTTCATAAAATTATAGAGAAATGAAGGTGAAAATGAGAGCAATAAAAGGTATTCAAAAGATCTGAAGCCATGTTGAATTGAATGTTTTAAATATGAATACAAAATTATTTTATAGAATTGTTTATGTTGTAATATTGATATTTAAACACGAGGGTGTTTAAAGGTTCATTAATTATTTCTTAATATTTATTTATGAAAATTTGGTATACAATGGCTACCTGGGAAGGCCAGATAGCCACATAGTCGTCATGACTAGTGTCTAATAATTACCTTCCATCTTAACTGAACGTATTCTGTAGACATATAGTACAACGAATAAAGACAGTAAAAGATTTAACTTTTAAAGTATTCAATTAAATTTTGTTTAATTCTTGTAAATTTTCTTTTATATTATAGCATTTTCTACAGTATGTACCATACAATGAAAAAAGATATGTATGAAAGCACTTTATTTAGATTATTTTACTGCTGTGACTTTCACTACTCTTTCAGAATAAACTGGTCGTACCATAGAATAAGTTAATAAGTGTCACCCCCATTAACCCAATGTTGCCATTGTAGTTAAGAGAATCTCTTCAGTTTTCCCTCACCACTATTGGCATTTTAATCTCTTCCCAGCCTACCAAAAGGAATTAAGTTAATAGCCTAGCCAGCCATGAGGATTAATGTAACACCAGATATGAAGGTCTTTCAAGCAAGAAGTCATGTAGTGAAACATTGGCTGAACCCTGGCTTTGTTTTAGCTAGGCCCACACACCTGTCAATAGGCCTAAAATATTACCCTGTTCTAGTCCCGTCATTATTCTCCATAAAATTAATATTGTCAGTTTGTTACATTCTTCAAGTCAAATTTATATGATTGAGACAAATACAGTAATTTGTCTCAAATCCAATAGTTTAAAATCTCAATTTAGGATTAATTCATTTCCTCTTAAGTTACAAACTGTCTTTAGTGGTCAAATCTGGGACAACCCAAACTGTAGTTATTGTAATAAGTTGTATTTAAAAGTACTTTTCCTAATCTATTCTACCAGATTCAGTTCTGTCAGAGCTGAATCTAGGTAGAAAAAGATTTACTTTAGGGGTACTCAAACCTGGAATGCAGGATGAGGGTAATCCTTTTTTCGTCATTCTTCTGTTTTAATGTGTTTTTTTAAATAAATATTTTGTGCTGTTATTCATGTGTTTTTAAGTGTTGTATGCATAATAGCCTCTCTGATAGACTATAACATTTTACTCAAGGGGAAATTCCCATTATAAAGAACAAATAAATAAAAAAAACCATAAGAAATATGTAAATTTGATATAGATTATAATGATTAATTGAATGAAAAATATCTATTAATAATAATAATAATAATAATAATAATAATAATAATAATAATAATAATAATAATATCTATTATATAAATAATTCATAAATATGAAAAATCATATTACAAAATTATATTATAAATCTATTCTACACCTATTCATAGGTAAACAATTGTGTGTTTTGTATGGTTTTGTAATACTCAAATAGGTCACTGTATGGTTTCCTTCTGATTAGCAATACAATAAGCACTTTCAATGCTCAATTGTGTAGTTTGTTGAATACATCTTTATCTTGTATTGTTGATTGTAGAAGAGGTGTTTCAAGACTTCCTACAGTATTGTTTGTGGATTAAAATCACAAACCACATCCATTAATCACATGTAAAGTACTCTGTTAACATAATTATTAATCTTTATATAAATATATTATTAATACTTGTAAATTTGGGAGCCATCATGAGGAGTTAATTAGCACTTTACAATATGTTTTATAGTGATGAAGTATATGCATTTAGTAAAAATATCTATCAGAAAATAAAATAATATATTAACGTTAATGGTGATGATAACAACAATACACTATAGTATTGAAACCTTTTTTCTCATTCTTCTAAAATTCAAATGAAAGTCCATTCTACTAGGAAAAAGCATGCAAATAATAATATATACTAAAAATATAATTCATTTTGTCTAAATATATTCATCTAGATAAAATCTAGTCCCAGTGAGTGACTTGTCCCTTACTGGTAGAATTATTACTTAGGAGACGGGAGTTATTATTGCTTAGGAGATGGGAGTTATTAGGTTTGAACTTACAGTAAGGAGCCTGGGATTAGAATAAGTAATAGAAAGCACCTTACTGCAAGCCTGTGTCTTCTTTCATTAAGATAATTCAATTTTGTTAATATGTTACAGCTGGCTCAGGCTTGTAACCATTTAAAAGAAAGTGGACATCATCATACCATCTAACCTCCCACTCTGTAAGACAACGTATTAAGCCACACATCTTAACTAAACCAAACCGTTTAAAAAAATAAAAACTTTAAATTACCATTATCCTTTTTTACTGTATAAAGGAATGTACATTCTACCTCCTACACTCAGATCAGAGCCTGATGTAAACACTCAAAGAGGGGATTGTGAATCTCCAGAAATTAGTAATTAAGGACCACTTCAAAAATCATCTGTGTCACGCACTACAACCTTTGCGTGATAACTAAATTGTTGACTAAATTGTAATATCTAGCAGTTAAGAATATATTAGAGGGACACAATCTTGTGTGATGTAATACCTAAGCTCTAGAAATTTAAATGTAACATCAAGTATCTCAACTAAAATCGAACACCTAAATCTAAATTGTAGATCTAAAATATGAAATATAATTGTAAGTTACAAAAAAGTGTAGAGTAGGTTTTTAAAGCCTGCACCCTTGTACTTTTTATGTGTCATTGGCCTTCAAATAGACAAAAACCATAATTCTATTTAAAAGGTTTATTTGTAGATATGATAATCATGAGTTCGAGAAAAATGAATGGCATATGCAGTCTTCATCAGCTGTAGTTAAAGCATTTTGTGGTCTTTTCTATTGTTTCTTTTCTTTAACTATTGTCAAACCACTACAATGTTAAGATTATTGTTACCATCTTATTCTTTGTTGATTAACCTTGAAAAAAAAGGGTTTTTTTTTAAATGACTACCACAGAATGAAAAAGTGAAATGCTTCAGAATACGATAGTTTTGATGATTTGAATTGTGTACATTAATATTTTATTAGTTAGTTTTGATGTTTCCATATTAAATTTTGGCTTTTAGTTTGTTGGTTAGAATTGTTTTAGTAAAACCTGTGTCACGGAGACAGCTTGCAAAATAATTTTTAGCTGGAGCATTAAATATACATTTCACTTGGTACAGATCGTGGCTGAAGAACTGCCCCTTTAATAAGGATACCCTTGTAATGTGTACTAAAGGTGTTCTAATGCAATTGCAAATATTGTGCATAAATCCTAGCCAATTACTAAATGTTCTATACTATTTCAGTATTTTAATAGAAGACATTTAAAAATGGGAAGAAGTGTCTTTGATAATATATTTTAGTATTCAAAATCATTTTAATGGTTGGGAGGGGATGGGGGGAGAGGGTGTTCAAATACTTACAAAACCAGGATGTTCCTATTAGTAACAGATTTTTCCCGATTTTACTGGGTAGTGTTTAGCTTCATATACTTGTTTATGCACCCTGTGTGTTTTAATTTCCTTGTTGACAGTAAAAAAAAATGTAGTGTTCAAAGGTATTGGAAATTTTTACATAGTTTGTCATTGTGAGTCATTTTAAGACATCTGGAAAGTTAAAAATATTCAATTTAATAAATTCCTTGTTTGAAACTTCAAATCTAATTGTAAAGTTCTTCCATTTCTGTAGTGCATATATACTACAGTATAATGTCTGTATTGTGCTCTTTTATGCAGTGTCATTGCAAAAAGACAAACAAAAAAACAACATAACACATGAACAAGAAAGATTGAATTGTGAAAAGAGATACTGTAGCTATAAATGTAAGGAATTTGAATTTTGTTGATTTTGGTAATTTTGATTAAGAATAACATATCTAGGATCCATGAAAAAAATGGTTTTATGTGTCTGTAATGGCAATTGCCATGTTCTAATTTTCAATTTCGAGCTGGTTGCTCATTTACGAGAACCATGCAAAGTGTAATCAATTTTCAATAATGATCTGTCCAGACTATTAAATTTTCTTTGACAAAAAAAAAACAAACTATTATATGTCCATATATAGTCATGATGTGCCTATATATGGTCATGATGTGATGTCATCATGACCATATTTAGGCCTGTCACATGTTTTTGTCAATTAAAATTTGATAGTCTGGCAGGGTTTAAGCCATTGATCAAAAAAAAAATTGTTTTCAATCATTTACAGATGTTTTGATTTGAAAATTTTAAAATTTGCTGGGTAGTAATGCAAAAAATAATGGTAGTAATGTATTTAAATCTCCTATAACTGATAAGAATTATTTTGCTTGTTCTAATTTTCTGTTTAAGTCTTAATTTTCCAGCATGTATAACTTAAAATTTAGGTATACGTCTATCCCATTATTGGAAAAATTCAAAAAATTCAACGTTAGGCCCAATAAAAAAAAAAAGAAGTTGTTTTATCACCCTCGCCCGCATGTCTTCTATAGTATATGTTGCTAATTTCTGTGCCTCGTTCTGTTTTTTTTCACAGTCATAACACACACACAACTACCTGGGAAGACCCACGTAAGAAGATGTTGACTAGTCAACTGAAAGCCAGTCAACATGAACATATGATCTTACAACAAAATGGTAACAGCATCCTTCCACAGAACGGCCCGATGCCGGAACTTGGAAGTCTGCCTGAAGGCTGGGAACAGGCTTGCTCTAATGATGGCGAGATTTACTTTATTAATCATCTTACAAGAACAACCAGTTGGCTAGATCCAAGAGTCTGTGAGTGAAATAACTATCACTATTTATATATTATTTTAATTATATATATTTATCTGTATATTTTTGTGTCCATAATAGTTTACATATAAGAGAAAGGATGGTATATATCCCTCAGTTCCTCAGGTATAATCCCACCTCTGGTATAAGTCCACCTCTTTCATTATGCTCAATTTTAGGTACCAGCCTATAAGTCCACCCCCAAAAATTGGCCCACTTTTGTTCAGAAGAACTATGGCACATTTATTTAAAATATACCTGTATACCACTGAGGGAGGTCTAGTGTCCGAAAGTACTGGTTCTATTTCTGGCTGTTTGCTTGCATTTACATTTTAGCTTTTGCTTATCAAATTTGTGCCTCTACTGAGATCCAGCCATTTTTGTTACAGCATTATTAGTTTTCTAGTCTGTCTTTCAGTTTAATGCAAAAAAAAAAAAAATTGACAATAGGCTTTTTTATTTAATTGTATACAAGCTTAAGTTATGATCTGACCATCCAAATCTTTTCAGTAAAAGCGCTCCAACAGTCACAGTCGACACATGCCCCCACGGCTCAACCAGCTCAACAAATGGGTCAGTTGACCCCTCAACAACGACAGCAAAAAGTAAGGCTACAGCGATTGCAACTGGAGAGGGAGAGGTTACGAAAACGTACACAACAGATTCTGCAACAGGTAATTGCGTTACTGTCTGCTCCCTACGAATATAATCATCATCACTACATTCATTCTATCATTACGTTGTCTTGAGTGACATCACCATGTTCTCTCACACAAGATCATATTGTCTCATGTACCAGGTCGTCACATGCTTTACTTGCTATTTCCTACAATCATCATCACTATTAAAATTAATTCACATAATAATGCAGAAAATGGCTACATGTACACGCGGCAGGTAGAAAACGGCGCCGCGAGCACCCCTACTAGGGATGGATACGTGCGCCTAACAAAATGACATTATTATTATTATTATTATTATTATTATTATTATTATTATTATTATTATTATTATTATTATTATTATTATTATTATTATACATTCTATCATGTTGCCTCGCATTCATTTTCTTGTCTTATACATTACAACATGAAAACTGTCTCACAAGGCATTATGGTATCTCATGTTTCATTTTAGTATTATTATTATTTACTTATTTATGTTTTCTCATATGACATCACTGTTTTGTCTCACATTGTCTCACTTTAAGGACCTGTAAAGTTTTGCTGTCTCCTGTCATTACCAGTTATCTCACATAATCTTATGCCGTAAATGGCATGACATGCCTCAAATGACAAATCACCTTACATGACATCACCATGTTGTCTCACATGATATCATCATGTTCTCTTACATGACATCATCATGTTGTCTCATATGACGACATGAAGAGATCTCAATTTAAAGGTCGATCTTTGGATCTTTTTAAAGCTCTTGGACCCTCTCACGTTATTCAGTGGTCGATTGACGCCACTCAATTTGTATACTTGTTCACTGCTTCACTGATTGTTTTTTAAACAAGATTTTTACAGTAGAAAGTAGAACAGGCTGATAATGTTACCATTTTATGTTTTTATTCTAGATGTTTAAAATTTAAACCTTCAGATAAAAGTTGCATACTGAACAAAACCATTTTGGCATGATGTATTACAGAGAAAATCTACAGTATAAAATGATCTTACATAACATGTCGTCTTTCAGCACAAACACATTGTCTTGTTTGATATGTTATCTGACATTACATGCTATCCTGTATGACATGACATCATTTTGTCTCACTATAGCATTATGATGTCATAATTATATGAGATCGTGCTTTCTCATATGACATAATTGTTTCATATGATGTCATCAGTCACTCTCACATAACATTATTGCTACATTCAAATTCAATACATGATCATGTTCATATTTTTTTTACACAGTTTTGTAGATTCTATCCTGCATCTTATAATATTGAAATAAGCCAAACCTTTCCCACAATTATTTTGCTAGCCTAGAGTATTTTCAAATGATAATTAATTCCTCCATTGTTTATTCAAGAGAAACTGATTTCATTTTAAACAGTTTCATTAGAATTTGGGCATCTCGGTAACTTGATTCCCCTTTTTGTCACTTAATAATCGGTCGTTAAAAGTTCAAGTTCTTGGGTCGGAGAAAATTCGAGGCATATTGTAGGCCTAGCCATCGACCCAGCAGGAGCCGTGGCAAGTCCGTCGGAGGCTGTTTTGATAGGCTAACTACCTGGCTAGGTCCTACTGCGCACTTCAACTAGGGCTAGCTTGTTTGTTATCATATACCATCTAGGTCAAGATATTCTCTATGCCTAAATAGCTGGGGTCCTTCTCAAAAAGTAAGCAAAAGGAAGAGTTAGTGTTTTACAATAAACCTATGGTCTTGATAAAATCTAGATAGATTGAATAAAAAATAGGTGTATACTATTACGTATTATATTGTACTACAAAGGTAAATGGAACTCATTGATTGCATTGAAAGGCACAGTTTAAAGTGGCAGTGCAATGCGTTCACATCATCATTTTTTCGTATCCCGGGGAAACCCCCGGATTTATCTTTTATGGCTGTTAAAATATAAATATCCTAAGCTTCGAATTCTGTGTTTGGCTGGAGTTTCATCCCCAGATGACTCCTGTTAGGTGGTACTGCCAACCTTTGTAAATTGTAACTGCCTCTTTAAATTGATATTATATTGATGTTAACCACAAGTGGATGAGATCTCAATTAAAGTTCTTTGGATCTTTTTAAAGCGCTTCACCCTCTCATGTTCTTCTGTGGTATATTGACGCCATTCAGTCTGTGTAGTGTTCACTGCTTCGCTGCTTGTTTTTAAACATGACTTAAAATGGAAAGTAGAACAGGCTATTACGATTACCACTTGATGTTTTTATTCTGGATTTTTTTTGCCATGTAGAACTGGAAATGAAATATTGCAATTTAAAAATTCAGCATGATTGACTGTACTAGAACGGAAAGCTACAGTAAAAAAATCGCAAAAATGGAAAACCCAATTTTTGTCAAAGGACGTGGGGACTACCAGATCCAAATTGTTCTATTTAAAATACTACAGGCAAAATATTAAAATGATAGAAACAGGTTACAACAATTTAATAGTTTTTCTGATGTATGAAACAAAGTAGTTCTTGAATTTATACTTGAAGTTGATGAAGACAAACTATTTAGAAAAAATATATGTAAGGAGCTTACATTACAGGAGTACACCAAATATTTTAATAATTTTAAAGGTTAGAGAAAATTATTATTGGTTTGTGAATGCTTAAGAGAAAAGGACAAAGGACTGGAGTAAGTAAAAAAAAGTTATTGGTAAAAAATTGTTTAAATATTAGTTGCAAATAAGATGTGAAATTGGAAGTTTCTAGATAATTTTTTAATGATATATAAAAATGAAAATATTGCAAGTTATATTTCAATAAAGAAGATTAAATATAATAACTTATAAAATAGTAACTTGTAATATATTCAAGATTTAAAATTCAAAATTTCTTGTCCTTAAAAAGAGATGTCAGATTGGAGATCTACATTTGAATAATACATTTTGATAAGACATAGATTAAAACATTCTCTGCATATAGTTAGAATATCGACAAACTTGGAATTATTAATTAATAATTATGTTTACCCTCATAATTTTGTTACAATATGAATTATTGATTAAATAAAATGATTATTTCACATCAAACATTGAGACTTGTACTAGCCAATTAGATAAAAGCAGGGACTGCGATGCTCTATTTAACAAAGTCTACATAAGTCTTATAGGTAGAGGCAGTTGTCCCTAAGTCTACAGGGCTTAGAACGAGTGGAGCTGTCTGTATTTGTGCTGAGGACAAATCCTGGAATAGATCCCTAGGATTTGGACGGCAAGGATCTTAACCTAATTAATTAGTATAGATGGTATTATTGTATTACTGTGTATTTATGTAAGAATATAAAAAACAATCATAAATAAAAAATAAATAAACAATGAGAAATAAGAAATTATAAAAGTGTACCATAGAATCGGTGTTCCTTATAACCATTTTAGATGGATGTATAATTTACAATGTTTATTTATGAAAAAATATAAAAAAATAATCATATATATGTAAGTAAGTAAAATCAAAATAATAACAATCATAATCATACAATCGGAATCCCATACAAATTATGCAATATCTTAGGACAAAATATGTGCTTTAATCAGAATACTTGATTTTAAAGCATGAAGGGTCTCAAATTTTCTTCTCCCACTCACCAAGCCCAATAAAGATATTAAAGCATGAAGGATCCAATATGAACTTGTATTTATCTAGACAGTGTATGGATTGCCTTTGTTAGAAATATAATTAACAAACTGAGAAATAAGACAGTAACTTATAGTATCTTATAGATGGTATTGCAACAATTGCCAATTGGTAGACATCGTGTTAGGCCTTTTGAGTCAAGTTGCTTCTGTCGGTAAGTTGTAGGAAAAGGAGTTGGTAAGTGTATAGCAAAGGAAAGGCTTTATGCTCTCTGTTTATAACCCTTGTTTAACACGCAAACAGACCTCAATTGTTAACAAATAATAAGGACTTAATGAGTTTGCAATGAGTATAATCCAAATTATTTACTACTTCCTTATATGTCACTAGGACTTAGTTAACATGTAGGTCGCTGGCTGGTAGCTAGAATTTTTCATACTTGTATTATACAAACCTATCTTAAGTTTAGCCTACTATTTATAGACACTGATCTTGTGTTTTATTTCTTTAATGTATACTTATATAGTGCCTTTGGAATTTGCTCTCTTTTTCTGATTCATTTTATTGCTATAACAGTTTTTTCACCCTAATAAAAGTACAATAGTTAGTTTGTTTGCATTGTTCGGTTTTCCTTCCCTGTGTATATTTTTTACATCCTGTTTCATGATAATGTTTGCATTTGTAAGTAATTATTATAATTTAGTTTATTTTAAGTGAATATTATGGCTTTGATTTGTTAAATAAATATGTAAAACTTTAAATAATGATGATGATGATGATGATGACATAAAAAAATATTCAAGATTATTGTCTAATATTTATTCTTTTGGTTACTATATTTCAGAATTAAATTGTAAATTTGTGTATTACATAATTGAATTATAAATTTGTTTTTAATTATTCTTTATTATTTTGTTATTTTTGGGCCTTGTATTCCTTTTGTATTATTATTTTTAATAATTTCATTGTTATTGCCTTCGATTTTGCTTGGACAATATTAAAACACAATATAACATTAAACAAAGTAAACCTTATTTTATATGATCAATTAATGTAGCTTATTTATTTGATCTAAAAAGTTGTTTGTACTGTATTGTGAAATATTTTAGGACCTGCTTACCTTCTTCATTAGAATTTCTAATATGAATGAATAACAAATGAAGCAATTGTTTCATTTCTTGATCACAATCAACGCGAAATCAAGCGAGATTATTGTTCAAATTTCCGATTCTGTTAGTTTATGTATTACGTGATGTAGGCCTAATTGTGCTAATTAAAATATATAACAATGTATAATAGTTCATCGACAGTCTTCATATGATTAATTATTGTAGCTTATTGATTTAGTCTAAGAGATGAAATTTAAAAATACAGCGGTCGATACTCTGTTATTATTGTCATACTTACTACATGAAATTAGATTCTGAAATTTGTTCCTGAGTGAGAAATAAATTCTGTTTGCTTTAATGTACAGGAACATTAAACAGTTTGTTTTTCAGGTTTATTACAAAAGTAACTGTAATTCTTTGTAGTATTAGTAAGCGGCTATTGCGTGGATGTCAGGCTGGCCTAGTTATCCAAAGCCTATCAAATTTATATGAAATTACATTATTTTCTTCAATTTAACTGATAGTAAATGATGTTGGTTTTGAGTGTGTGGCTAATAGTTCCTATTTGTTCGGTATAACTTTAATATTATGTTTTTACTAGTTTGCCTGTTATAGAGGTAGCAGTGTTGTATATCTTCTGTTGGGTATTCACAACACCTGAGGGCCTCCGAAAAGAAAAGTTGTATTGTGTCGAGTTGACGCTAGGTGAGCAATTTAGAGCAAATGGTATAGAACACAAAGCTAAGCTCTCTCTGGCCTTGCCAGGTTTTTGTAACAATCAAGCGAACCGTGGCTTGATCAATTCGCTGCTATTGTTCATTAAATTATGCATAGGGTATTGTAGATTGAAATATAATAAAACACAATATAAAATAGAGTTGAATTCATTATACAGTTAAATAATGCACGCACACTTGCCCAGAAATGAGAGGTTTTTTGAGCACTGAAGTGTGCTCAATCGTTTGAGAATTGGTCACACACGATAGCTGGTTGATAACTTTAAGCACTACACAAAATACTTTTACAATAGGTGATTAAAAAAGAATAAGGTCAAAGGTTCGAAATCTAACATCCTAGCATTTCTCCCACAGTGGGAGCTGGTGCCTATGCCTAAGGGTTAGACTGCAAAGGAAATAGCTAATCTCGGAAAAGAAAAATTACAATGCATTTAACTGTAAATAGTAAGTGACTGTTAAGGAGCAATTCACATCTTAGAAATGTGTGACTTTTAGTGGTTTTTATTTGAGTGCTATGTATATTACTTGGAACTAGAAATTGCAAATTGCAAGTGAAGTGCTGCGAAGTACAACTGCATATAAATGTTCTTCGAACAAAATTATTTATGCGAGTCAAGTGAAAATGAATA